ATATACCGACGTCAGATTTCATCATTTTAATAATTATTTGTTACGTTACAAAAAATTCTTTAGAATCTTGAGTGCATACGGTATACAACTAGTAAACACTGTATCACACAATTCTATCAATATAAACCTGCGTGTATCTCATATGTATATGTTAGAACTAGATGAACACTTAGGTTCACTGTAACATATTTTGTTTCTCATGTGTCTGTCTCCCTTGTAGAAACGTAATTTCATTTGGACGTGCTGTATGGGTCACGATGTCTAAAAAACACAATTAAAATTAATAGAATATTCGAGCAACAGCTTGCGGTAGTCAGTTGTATCCATAGAGAAAGCCTAATATTTACCTTATAAAACAATAAACTTTTGATTTCTAACCACATTTTCTCTTGACGGATGATAATCAAAAGCCAAAATGACATTCGTCGCAAATTTTGAAGTATAATTAGTGGAATAGTTAAAAGTTTGTTAAGTTTTTCTGATATAATAAAATTAAAATAAATAAATGATTTAGAGGACGTTTCGGAAATAAAAATAGGAAATTTACCGAAATTTTCAAATTTGCCTTGATTTTTATTGAACTCAAGAAAAATACACAATTTTGTTTATATTCCAACCTGTGAATTAAAAAAATATTATTAGCATTATTATTTAATAAAGGGTATGGCCTTCTCTACTGTTCATTACAGCCCTACATCATCTCTCCATGCTCCTGATCAGGCTGTCGATCTCTTCTTGAGGTACAGCCTGCCACGCTGCATTCACGTCCCGAACCAGATTCCTACCAGTTTCACGAGGCATAGCCATTTTCAAAATTCTTCTTTGTACAGCGTTCCATACGTGCTCGATGGGGTTGAGGTCAGGAGATTGTGCCAGCCAGGATAAGATGTTTAATTGACGAGCATTGATAAACTCATTTACTACTCTGGCTTTATGAGACCGTGAATTGTCATGCCTGACAATGAAGTTTCTCTCAAAATTATTGGCATATGGTAACACGACAGGCTCAAGGACTAAATCACGGTATGTGATTCCTGCTAGAAACCTTTCAAGAAAAACGAGACCGGTTTTTCGGCATAACTGGACTCCTCCCCAGACCATAATTGTTCTACCTTCATAAGGGTGCACTTCCTGAACATGATCCAACCGAATAAGGTTTCCTGGTTCTCTCCATACCCTAAGCCCTCTCGAATCCGGATGAATTCCAAAGCATCACTCATTCGTGAAGAGAATATTGGTCCATTGGTCATTCGACCATTGAACTTGAGCCCACAAATATCGTACCTCTTGATTTCCTCTCGTTAAGAGTTCAGCTCTCCAGGGGCGTCTGCTTCTTAAATTGACCTTCTTAATATATTGCGAACAGTGTCAGGAATAACGGTTACATTATGTGTTTCTTGGAGAAGTAAACTAAGCTCTGGTGCTGTAAGAGTCGGTCGGCGTCGAGCATTTAATTGTAAAAAATGATTTTGCTGAGGGGTAGTAATGCGATGTCGCCCTGTGTGCCTTTAGCAATGCTCCATAACGTTGTGTAATACTAAACAAAGTTATTTGAATGAATCCTGGTCAGTTATCATGAAATCATAGCCAGTACAGGTTAAATTCGAACAATTGATGCTAGGTGCTTTTTATACATTTGACAAAAAATGCAAAAAATCTTCTGCAAATATGCAAAATTTAGAAATAACAAGTGTGACTACTTCGTTTCAATCGAAGTAGAAATAATCGGCCTAGAAATATGTGGTTGTTTATTCAAAAAATTTATTTTTAATGTTAATAAAATGATATCTCTAGATTTTCCAGTGTGTTTAGTTTAATTTTAATTTTTAATATATTTTTTTACTAAATTGCGTGGAAATAAACCAAATATTTATATAAAACCACAACAAAGCGGCCCCATATTAAAAATATAAAAATAAAATATAGAAGATTAATATAGATATCAACCGCAACAAGGACCTTTTGTTTACCGATATTTTTATAATATTGTTTAACGTCAAATTCCTGTTTTCGATATTGGCTGAAGCTTGTTGTTTGTTAGAACTCCATTTTTAAAGAGCAGGGAAAATTTACCGTGGGGTTATATCTATATTTTAGCGCTTCGTATAGATAAAAATTTGAATTCCGCTATCGAGATGAAATAGCAGGCCGTATATTGTATAGAATTTCCTCTTGAAGGTACATGAGATCAAATTTTTCGTAAAAGCATATATTGTTATTTAATATAATGCATTTTTGGCATTTTTATCTATATCTAAACAAAAATTAAAAAAATCGAAAATAGACTATCAGATTACGAGGCAAGCTGTGTTAGGAGATGTTGTACATTTACTTTATGACAGACAAATACCCCATATCTTAATCAAGTCATAGAAAATATATACAGTGCTAACAAAATTCAGGCTAATATCCACGGGGATCTTACTGAACCTAACCTAACCTGTAGAGAAAGGCATAGGACAAGGAGATTCATTAAGCCCGCTTCTTTTTAATATAATTATGGACGAAATAATCAAACAAGTGCGCCATTTAAATGGATACAAAATGGGAGACCGCAATATTACAATTCTGTGTTATGCCGACGACGCTGTGCTATTCGCAGAAAATGAGGACGACCTCCAAAGACTAGTATATCTCTTCAATCTAGTAGCAAAATCTTATAACATGATAACCTCTGCATCCAAAACAAAGAGCCTGACAGCTTCAAAAATACCTATCAGATGCATGATTGTCGTGGATAACACAATAATACAGCAAGAAATGAAATTTAAATATCTCGGTATAGAGTTATCAGGTTATGGCGATATCGAAATTGAGGTAAGACAACAAACAACAAAAGCAATGAGAGTGGCTGGATGTCTGAACGACACCATATGGAAAAATAAATACGTAGGTGTCGAGATCAAGTCACGAATATACAAGGCTATCATCAGACCCATAATGACCTACACAGCAGAAACCAGACCGTATACAGTAAAAACAAAAATATTCTTAGAAACAGGCGAGATGAAAATCCTCCGCAAATTTTTTTTAGAACTTCATTTTGACTACAGACTCTCATGGAACGAACACATAATCAATATTAAAACAGATTGCAGTAAAACCATCCACATCATTAAATGGCTATCCTACTCAAAATTTGGCTGCTCTCAGTCCGTACTTTTTCACCTTTACATCATTTGATAAGATCTAAATTGGATTACGGATTCATAGTCTATTTATCTTGTCCAAAATAATATCTTACTAAACTTAATGTGATTCATAATAACTTAGACTCTTTTCTGGAGCATTCCTTCATATTACTTGTTTACACAGCTTATTGGGTATAATGCCTCTTAAACACCATCAGCAAAATTTGCTATTTCAATACGCTATGTCACTTAAATTCAAACCATTTATCCCAAGGTATAGTTTCTTTTTTCGACCACTTGTTTCTCCAAACATTATACTTGATTCTAGATCCGATAGTCCAGGGCAAGTTTTTTCCAATTTTTGCGAAGATCACAACATCACTATTCCTGAATGCATGCCACTTCGAAATGTCACCACTCTTCCCTGGGAATTAATTTCCCCATCAATAAATAATACACTCATCAAACTAGACAAAAAAAGCACCCCTCCATCTTTAATAATGCAATTATTCTGTCATAATCTACTAAGCTTGCTTGAGTCCCTGCCCTTAAAAAGCAAAATAATTTTGTGTGGTGATCTTAATATTGACTTTCTTAGTGTATGTGCTGCTCAAGAGTTTCTTCAGTCCATTTTTGATTCTTTTGGAATAGCCATGCATGTAGGCTCACCTACCAGAATATCCAATACCAGTTCTAGTACTATAGACTATGTTGTGTCATCTTTTGATCCTAAGTTCATCGCCTGCAACGTCTTTAGCTCGGGTCTCTCTGATCATGAAGCAGTTTTAACTGAATTTTCGATGAAGTCCAAAATCAAAATGCCCCTCGTAAATTATGCCGTATTTTTCAGAAAAGAATGCTCAAAAGTTCAGCCACTTATGTAAAACAACCAACTGGGATACTAGCTCTTATGATGTCGACACCGAATTTTATATTTTCGTAAAAACATTAACCAGTCTAGCGTTCAAATCCTTTCCTATTAGGCCTATAAAAAATAAGCATAATAAACCTTGGACCACTAAAGGTCTATGCATATCTTCTAAAAACATGCGTTCATTATCTCACTTAAAAAATTCTCAGACAGTCTCTTCTTCCACAATAACGTAAAACTATACAGAAAAATTTATCATAAGACTATAAGAGCCGCTAAGGACCTTTATTATAATAGGAGAATAGTCAATTCTGGTAATGTTGCTAAGGAAACATGGTCTATTGTGAATGAATTGAGAAACAAAGCTTCTTTGTGTAGCAATATCTCTCCCTCACCTGAGAACCTTAACGATTACTTTGTAAATGTAGCGAAAAACTTAACTAATACCATAAGTCCTCCTCATGATCCACTTTCTTATCTCTCTAATGATAATGTAAACTTTTGTTTCTTTTTTTCGCAGTACAATTAATACCATCAAAAATAAATCCTCTTCTGGGACCGACGGGCTAAGTTTAAAAATGTTTTCGAGTCTGCCAGAAAGCACTCTAAATCACCTAACAACTTTAATAAACATGTCGTTCCAAAATGGTATTTTTCCAAAATGTCTTAAGACGGCAATATTCATTCCTCTGCACAAAGGAGGAGACAAAGATGAAGCTTCTAACTATCGCCCAATTGCACTCCTTCCAACGCTATCTAAGATCATAGAAAGGTTGGTTAAAAGAAGGCTGGTATCTTTTGGAAGGCTTTTCTGTTTAAGTACAAAATACTTACTGAATATCAATTTGGATTTCGAAGCAACAAGTCCACAAATGACGCTATGTTTTCCCTGCTTAATAATGTTTACTCCAGCCTAAACAACCATCATTCTACAGCAACAATTTTCTGTGATTTTTCTAAGGCGTTCGATTGTGTAAATCATAAGATCTTAATTAATAAACTGCAGCACTGTGGGTTCAGGGGATCATCTCTCGAATCGTTTAAGTCGTATCTGAGCGACAGAAGTCAACTTGTGAGGGTGGATACCACGTTGTCTTCTAGCAAGCCAATAGAATGTGGAGTACCACAAGGCCCAGTACTAGGCCCTATTTTGTTTCTTCTTTTTATTAACGACATTGCTAACATAAACATCAGTGGCAAAATATGTCTTTTTGCGGATGACACTAGCTTCACTTGGAACAACAAGGACATCACGGCACTTCATAGGATTATATCAAATGACTTAATCACCATTAAATCTTGGTGCGATTCGAACCTCCTGACTCTCAACATTTCTAAAACTAAAGCTTTGTCGTATAAAAACTCGTTGCAGCCTTTTGTACTTAACAACACCACCATTGACGTCGTCAAATCTGTAAAGTTCTTGGGGCTTGTTGTGGACAATTCTCTGAAATGGGACATACATATCGAAGCTTTGTCAAAAAATTGAGCTCTGCCTGTTTTGCATTAAGGTACTGTTTCTAAGGAGCTTAACTTGTCAGTGGCTAGAACTGTTTATTATGCACTTTTTGAGTCGCACCTCAGGTATGCCCTTCCATTCTGGGGTACGTGTTGTGCGACTCAATTTGACCGCATTTTCAGGCTCCAGAAGAGAGCTGTTCTATATTCACTGGGACTAACAGCAGAACTCATTGCCGGGACTTTTTTAAAAAATTAAAAATATTGACTCTTCCTTCCTTATTTATATTTGAATCCGTTTGCCTAATACGTAAACATGTATCAGCTTCTCAAGAAAGGTCATCTCACACTTATCCACTCAGGAACGCGGAGCAAGATCTTTATCTACCTACCCCACGGTCAGAGTTAGTTAAAAGTTCAATATTATAGAACTCGAAAAAAATGCACAATCACCTGCCATTTGAAATCAAATCCATAACATCATTTTTTTCATTTCGCAGAGCATTGAACTTTTATTTACTAGACAAGGCTTTCTACGCCGTAAATGAATTATATTTTGAAAATAAAATTTGATCTTGTAAACACTGGTCTAATATTTGCTATTGCTATATTTACTAATGACATCGAAATGAATTTATTTAGGGGTCATTGATATTTTACTATAAACTAACTAAATATTTTTGAATATTATTTTTATTTTTTGTTCTTTGACATTATAAACATTTATAAATGTTTATTTTAACAATAAGACTGACAATATTATTTGTATAATGTTTTGTATTATCTTTTGTTTATTTGTTTGTGTACCTTGTTTTTTTACTTTGTTTGTTAGTTTACCTTAGTCTACAAATTGAAAAATTTTTTGACAATAAAGGCATTTATTTATTTATTTATTTATTTAATAAAAGCGTCATTTTACGGTATTATTCAAGATCTATCTCCAGATGATATAATATACACGGACGGTTCCAAATTCTCCTAGGGAACAGGATGCGCCGTATTTCATAACAATATGTCTTATAAATATCGCTTACTTCCTACCACCAGCATCCTTTGTGCCGAACTTTTTGCGGTCACTGTCCAGAAGTGAGGAAGTCATTTGGAATCGGCTCAGGTTGGCTCACTGCCATTTCTCCCATTCTTTCCTTTTAAAAGGCGACCCCCCGCCTAACTGCTCTCATTGTGGCAACCAATTAACAGTGTACCACCTCCTAATAGAATGTCTTTTCTTCAATAACTTAAGACAATCATTTGGTCTGAATGACGATCTGGCTTCCGTTCTTGATGCTAATAACCTACATTTTTTGTTCCAATTTATTAGGGCATCGGATTTGGGATCATACTTACTGCGTTAATTTAACTTTAATTTGATCAATACCGCTAAATGGCCCAGCAGCTGATACGGCTTATATAAAATCCTCCTTCCTCCTCCTCCTCCTCCGCAAAATCACTCTGCTAGATAGAGAACGAAGCGACAACATAAGGCAAACATGCAAGGTGGATAGCATTAATGAATGGGTATGGAGCAGAAGTCGCGAATGGAATGAACATAAAAGCCGAATGGACGAGGAAAGAATAGTAAAGTCGGCTCGAGACAAATCACCACTGGGAAGAAGAAGTACGGGAAGGCCAAGAAAAAGTTGGTGTAACTAATATCTTTATAATTTGCTCTATTGAAACTGTAGGTATGTGAAGAATGAACAGGCAATCTGCCTAATATAGAGTCGGAGGAAGAAGAAGAAGAAAATGACTAATGTTCAACATTTACAACTTTTTTCTACCGTAAACTCTGACGTGTCTATAACATAACCATGCACCAGTTGTTCGAGAAGGCTTTTCACAATTATGTGTCAAATGCCACGAACATATCATAGTTTGGTGTGTCAGACAGTGATTTTCTTTTAATCAAAATATTTTTCGAAACAACCAATAAATTGATTATAATTATACAGGGTGAGTTTCCTACGATGTTCTCTATGGGTATCTCGGAAACTACTGGAGATAGAGAGTCGGTTAAATGGGCAAAGAATTGCAGTTTTGTGGGGTCATAAATATGCGCCTTTCAGATTTTTGAAAAAGTTTATGGCTTACTAGATATTTCGAAAAAAACAAATTTCGGCTATTTTAAAAATTGTCTCTAATTCCATTATAAGCTATTTTAGACAAAAAGTTTTCAGATAAAAGTTGTAGATAATCACATCCTTAATGAGACTGCGTCCTCCGTTTTTTTTCTAAAGCCTGTCATTTTTGACATATGACACAAACATATGTTTTTTTAAATGGAAACCATAGTTGGCCATGACTTCATAAAAAGCGCCATTTTGTAAGCTTTTCAGCGATATAAGATATAATATGTTTTCTTCGAAAAATTACTGAGTTATAGCCAATTCTTATCATTTTTAAATAATTTCACTTAGCCATGGAAACAAGTTTAATCGTCTTTGCTCTCAGAAATGCGAAGCTGTTACATCCAAACTTTATAAATTAAAATAAACAAAAATTGTTAATATGAT